TTCCATGGGCCACGGACAGACAGATTGGCCGACTACTAGGACTGACTGGTTCTGGTCTCGAGGCAGCCAAGTTTTTTTCTAACTTTTCTCCCCCTTTTCTCATCCGACAACTAACCGATCTTCGACAGGTCGAACGGATTACACGGGGCCCCCGCCGCACGTCTACCCGACCAATTTAAAAGTTTGTAATTCGTGGATACAAATGTTTCGCGTCGCCCATGTCCGCGTCTACCGATCACGGGAAGAACCATCGAGATCGATATAAAGTTGGTACGGTCTCCCTTCCTCGAATTCGAACAAGTTTTCAACGTTCGTACACAATTTTCGATTCATTGATTCGTTGGAATCGTTTATGGCGCGATGGAACGTTCATTATTAATTTTTCGTAAATATAGAACCGCGGAAAGTGCATATTACATGCTGTAACATATCGACGATATTTATATTCCAAAACGATTAATTTATTTTTTCTTCAAATTTTCTTTGAATTCGATTCAAATTCGATTCTATTCTGATACAAATTATCGATCAATGGCGCGAAAAAAATCGAATAAAAATGTATTCGGAGGGGGAGAAAATTCTTCTCATCCTCGAAACCTAAGAGAGAGAGAGAGGCATCGATCGAGCTCCATTCCGAGAGCGAAGCGTGTTATTATGCGGTTACGATGTAAATCTCGATTAACACGTAAGAAGGATCGAATCGGTGCGCAGCCCGACCATTGTTCGGTTAACGCACCGTCGCCGTTCGTGCCCTTCGTTCGCGACACGGCTGTTTCTTTGTTTCGAGAACCGGTCGAGAGTTTGCGCAAGAGCATCAAAGTATCAAAGTATGGCGAATAATAAATGCAACAAGCGCGCGTCGAAATTAAAGGGGGGCGAAGAAGAGAAACGGCGGAGAAGAGCGGAATTGGCGAGTTACTTTCCAACTTCTACCTTCGAGTCGAAGTTGAAATATTATAGTTCGGTTATCTTTTCCTCGGAAACCCGGAAGTTTTTTCTTTTTTTTTACAAAATTCTCCATCACGGAGGAGGAGGAAGAACGATCGAGTTCGATGGAAAATAGACACCAAGAACACTTGTAACAAATTAATATTAATTTCTATCTATACAAAATATTTTCTTTTCGAATTCGAACATAAAAAATTGCGAGGTTTGATGGATAAATAGGTAAAATAGGCAAAAATTTTGCCTTTCAAACTTATTCCAAAATAAAATAAAACTTCCTTCAATTTTTCCCTTTCCCTTTCAAGTTTTCTCTTTTTTCCCTTCGAATAAAAGTACATTGAACTTGACTTTCCAAGAATAGAAGAAGAACGAAACAAGGAAAATGAAAACGAGAAGATCGCAACTAAAAAAAAAACAAGCTTCGCAATAAATAAAACCTCCTAATCGAACGCGCATTTTCATCTCTTCCCCTTCCAAATCTCGATCTCGAATCGCACCGCTTGTAAACCCGTCCAGTTAGCCATCTTCCATCGAAACCTTTCCCATTATTCCCATCTATTTACACGGAAACCCAGTGATCGTGGACACGTTCCTCACCTTCGTTCAGATTCGATCGGCGGCGAGATCGGCGAGGGAATCGTGGCCCGGAACTCTCTCTTCCACCTTCCCCTCCCCCTCTCGCGCACGATGTTTACGATTTTTGCAGACGAGTCCTCCCCCTCTCCCATCCCGCCCGCTTTCACCGGGGTTCACTCGAGGTGTAAATAAGCAGTCGCCGTGATTGCGCTTGATTACAGGGAGCCCAGGCCCTGCGTTCGGTTGTCTTTATTGCACGTCCTTCTTCCCTCCCCCTGTACATCGTTCAGGCGTGAACCTTTGTCCAAATTTAATAATTCATATTTGCCAGCCGGCGTCGTGTAACGTTCCGCTCTTTCTCTCTCTCGCGCGTCTCGTTGGAACGAGGGGGGAGGGGAGAAGAGGGCGAGGCGAAAAAAATAAGCACCCAGCCCCGCGAAAATGGGGGTATATTACGATAAACATTAACGGCTCGTCGGTATCTAGTAATTTCCAATCCCCTTCCTCCTCCTTCTCCTCCTTCTCCTCCTCGAGAGAGTGGTGCGATCTCGAGCGCATCGAGTGCTTCGATCGTCGTGTTTATCGGACCGTGTTCCACGAAATTTCGCGTATATTACCGAAGAGGAGGAGGAGGAGGAGGATCTCCACGCGGGAACATATCTCATTCGAAGAATCCCTCCCCCATGTAATACCTATTCAATTAACGTTACATCAGGATTTATCCAAATGTACCATCGTTGACTTTAAACCTTCTATTCGCATTATTGGCTCGATCTATCAGAATCTTGCCTGTTGCAAGAGCAGAGGCAGAGATTTGCCTGTTCATCTCACCGAAAGCGGTCTTAAACCCTCGATCTAAAAAAAAAAAATACATATATATATGTATATATATTTCCTTCGGCCGACCATTTATCTCGCAAAACCAATTGATCACACCTGTTCACGCTCCTCTTCCATTACAACCGCTCATTTTTCGAAACGGCCGATGCACCGACCGATAAACCGCCAGCAGCAATCACTGCTCTCGAGAGACTTCTCCTCTCCTCGAGTGTGGTAATAATCCGCAACAATGTGTCTCGGTTGAGATAAAAGGAAGGGGGTGGATAAAGTATCCTGCTTGTCAAATAGGGATCAGCTTCGATACGCGGGCAAAGAAGAAGCTTATTTCGCATTTTTGGTTGGTTTCCCGGATAATTTCGCGATTTTTCGATTCCAACGTAGGCTCGAAGTTCTCCAAGCCTATGCTTTATTGGAAGATCGATGTTGGGTCAGGATCCATGGATTTCGATTCTCTTCGATTCTAGATCGATTGGAACAGGTTTGTTGTACCGACACGTGGATATCGAACAAGGAGGATTGAGTTTGTGATAGGAGAGAGAGAGAGAATCTAAAAATTGAAAACGCTAACGATAATTCCAATAAAGGGGAGGACCCGCTTGTAAATCATTCTTCCATTCAAATTAGTGGGCGGGGAAATTAAAAAGAAGAAGAAGAAGAAGAAGAAGAACCGTAGGAATCGTGGAACACGATTCCGGGAAGAGAGTTGGTTCTATCCGTTCCTAGACAGGAATAGAAGATTCTTCGCCCGCCCGCTGATCCAATTTCCATAAATCTATCCACGCGTAACCGGCTCGCATATTCAAACAGTTTAAGCAAACTGCTCCCACCTGGTAAACAAACGAATCACGGTGTATGTTTTACAAACATTTATCATATATACACCCCAAGGAATCGATTTAATCTATTCTAGGAAACGAGATTATTCTCCATGATTAATTAACCAAAAAGGTTTCTATCTTATTCGAATTGGATCCGTGTATCGAGATTTTAATTTCTACTTACAACACACCGTGATTGGACTCGAAGAAATAACTGCACGATAGTCAATTGCATTCGATTCAAATTTTCTCAACTGCTTTTCGTAAAAATCAATCCATACGTCCCCCAATTAACAGGGATAACCCCTGTCGGAGTTGGGACAGAGAGGACGACGGTTAATCAGAAGAGTGTATCTACTCCGCCGACAGGTACGTATAAATGGAGTTCTACGGTGTTCCCCTCCCCTCGTCTCTACCTGGAACCGAGCAAAGAAACGAAAAGAAAAAAAAGGCTGCGAAACGTCGTCGTTCTATTTCTAAAGGCCGATAGGCCGATAAAGCGAAAGGCTGTCGAAGCGGAGAAAAAGCGCGAAAACGAGTCCGCTGGCTGGCATAATGGATTCTACCGACGGTAATATCTCTCGGCCGACGTTGTAGCAAAACTTTCCGCTCCTCTTCCCCTTCCTTCTCTTTCTTTTATCCCGCTTCCCTTCCTCTACTACATCCCACCCGGTGAACTCGTTTCGCTGATACCATCGTTCCTACCTTTTTCGCCGTTTCTTTGGGGGACCCTCCGACACAAGAACCGGCCGGAAACCACCACGATGTAACGTCGTTGCTCCCATTCGCGCGAATGGAAACGTAAAAAAAATCTTCCAGATTCTGTGGAATAGGGGGAGAGGGGACACTCGATATTTCGGTTTCTCGGCTCTTGGCATTGCGCAACCGTGTTCGGTTTCACTGATGGATTTGGAGAATCGAGTCGAGGAACGATAACGGATAACAGGTGGTGGGAGGAGGATAATGAGAGAATCGTGAAGATGAAGAGTAAGTAAGATGGACGTGTTCTTCGTTAAGGATATTTTGCAAGTAATTGCGAAGAAGGTTTGTCGAATCTTTGAGAATTTAACGAGCCAAAAATTAAATTAAGTTCTCGAATCGAGAAGAGAGAAATCTTGAGAAATGATTTTCGCAAGTATCGTATATGGATAGATTTATAAAATTACGAAATTCTTACTTACAAGATTGGCGAAATTTAACTTGTAAATTACAATTAGAGATTATTTATCTTCCGAAATAAACAAGTAGAAAGAAATTTACACGGATGATTCGCAACGATTTACATTTTCTCATGTCCCCCCTGCTTTCATTCACTCCGACACGATCTCCCAAATATAATTCAACAAGTCGACGAGAGGTTCTCTCGAAGTCGCGGGCCGCGAGGCGGACAAAAGCGAGCC